TTTAGCTGCATTTCACCCAAACCTGTTTTAAGCATGTGTTCTATGCCTTTTTGGGAAATTTCAGTATCCCGTAAGTTTCCTAAGAAAGTCCCTATCTAGTTTTGAAGAAATAGATGAGTCAGTGTGAGACTGGTCTTAATTAAATCAATGGATATTTTCCTGTAAAAGTGGGGAAAAAAATAAAGCTATTAAGACTGAGCATTGTTCTGACTTCCTTAGAATAAGACTGATTTGGGTTTTCTCTGCTTGTCTACACTTCAGAGGCTAGTTGTTCTGTATTTTGACACCCTGAGTAATCACAAAAAGAGACTTGCTGCTTCGTGGCTGTATCAGTTCTAAATTAGAAGAAGAGGTGTGTGTTTCAGTGAGATAACAGCACACCTGGCTGACATCGGAAAATCCTCCTCTAATCAAGAATGACTTCCGAAGAGTCGTATGTCCAAGCCTTAAAAGATGTCAGTGCAATTAAGGATTTACTTATACTGAAGATTTCTGCCTTTCCTATTTACAGTTTGAGTGGTGGGATTTGGGGAGGGGTTTGGGTTTATTTTTTCCTTTATGTTTTTTTACAGACACATCATAATTGTAAGAAAAATCCCAATACATGACAGGCTGAGTGTGTCTTTGGATTGAAGAGAAGGAAAACTAAACCACCTACCCAGCTGGAGGGCAAATCCAAAGCAGGGGTGACTCAGCAATGATTACACTTTTGGAAAGACAGAGAAGTTCTGTGAGACTTCGTTATAGATGAGGAAACCAGATTTAGTTGCTCTGCTCCTTCCCATTCCATCAGCACAGTCCATTTCTCCCTTACTGGGTGAGCCATCTGTTTGGGACCAGCTCTGTCGGTGTGGTTACTGAAGGGGGGAAGTTAAAAATAACCACTGCTTTTTCCTAAGGTTATTTTTAACTTGGAATGCTTAAGTGATTTGGTTTACAGTGTTACTTGACAGACAGGTCAGGCCTACTGACGCTACAGGCAGCTTTGGGCTTTGCTGTCAGAGTCAGCATGTGATGGGATTGCACCTTTTAGATTCTTCATTTATCTTTTATTTTTTTTTTTTGGATGAAACATGAACACTAAGTGCATGAAATCTGATCTGTTAGCCTGGCTGTTCTTGGTGGTGCAGGCACATGGATTAGATTAAACTCTGCTCAGTGCTGAGAAATGGTATGAGCCTTGGGCTACAGTGCTCCACTAATGGTGCTTCAGCACATTGCTTGGTTTGAGAAATAATCTGTTTGTAGGGAGAGGAAACGGGCATAATTATATATATAAAAATATATAAAAAAATTTCTGAGCATAATTATAGGGGTCTTTCTGTGGATCTCTGATCAACAGAGGTAAGTTCATAGGAAGGGTACAGAGAAGACGATGTGTTATTCCCATGGCCAGGGAACGTTTCCTTTCAAAGGCTGTGTCACCATGTTCTTGGCACCCTTACAGCTGCACTAAGCTGTCTGGTTCTATCTGCCTTTGTCTGAATTATACAGCCTAAGGGAGGGCATGCAGCTGTATGCTTACATGTATTCCTCCTTCAGTGCCAGCTCAGCACCATGCCTTGCTCATGAATGTGTCATTGCCAAGTATTTGATGGAAGCAGCTCTAAGGAAGAAAAAAATCTCTAAGGTGGGTTGTCAATTTGGGATGAAGCTATGAGGTGTGTTATCCACACAGCATCAGTCAGGATAACAATAATGGTGTAATATCTCCTTGGCATATTTATTATCCCTTTCAATATGACTTAATCAGACAGCAGTTGAATTGGTTACCCCCAGTGGTAACGATTGGAGTAGGTGATGAGCTAGTGCAAACTCTTATTTAATATTTACTGGGTCACTTTTAGAACTTCCACATATCTGGTTATGTCCCAGGCAGCTTTTCAAGCCTTGTTTTAGCTGCCTGTACCCACACACAGCAAAGGCACCAGTAACAACAGAGTGTTCCTATGAAGTTCTGCATTAGGCATATGTTTTGTATGGGAAAAGAAGACTGAAAATGTATTTATTATCTATTTTGGGTATTATGCATTGAGTATTTACGAAGCCCAGAACCAACTTTTACTGTTCTTACTCTTCATCTTCCAATGCTAATATAGTCCAGCAATTTTACAGTATAGATCTCTTCATATACTTCTGCTTTCATTTCCTTTTTTAATTCTTCTGGAAGTTTGGGTACACATGGATCCATTTATCTCAGCCATAGAATAAAAGATCTAAAGTCAAACTGATCAGCTCATATGAGGCACAGCTGCTTAAAAGCAAAGAAAAAAAGATGATTTCCTTTAGAAAATTGACCTCTTTTGATGGTTTTGATTATGTAAATAGACAAACACTTGTCCATTCTCCTGTTTGCTCAGATACAAGCAGCAGCTGAGATACTAAACTGTTACCTAGTTCTTCCTCTAAAGAATAGTTGAAACAAAAGAATTATCATCCACACTTTTTTTTTTTTTTCCTTTTAAAAAAAGTCACCTAAAGGCCAGTGATCTTATTGGTGTTCTTATTTTAAAACTCTTATTAGAATAATTTGTTTTCTGAGATTAATTCATTAGTAAAGTAACATACCCAAGCATTTCACTGGGATCTAAAGAGTCATTTCACCTTACATATTGAAACAGAAATCAGAGGATTCTGTCTAAGTACCTTGGACATATTAGTCACAATGGCCTCAATTATTCAAATAACTGCAGTAAGAAAAATAATACTCTAAATTAAAAAAAAAAACCCAAACATTTTGTAACAACTATTCCTAATAGGGAAAATAGCAAGAGGTTGGAAAAAAACCACATCTCGTATAATTTTTGTTAGCAAATTATGAGAGTCTAAATTTTGTCTCAGAGACTTTGACTTTGTTTCATTTTGGGTTTTTTTCCCCTTAGTTCTGAAAATAAAATATTTTCTTATTTCAAACAAACTAGAAGTGGGACAGTTTTTACAGAAAATAATTTGCCACCACCTCAGGCTTTTTATGGCATGTCTTTATCTCCCTGTATCTCTTAATTCCTGATTAACTCCTGATGCTTTTCTTCTTGCTCTCCTCTTTAGAGGTATAAGCCCAGTTTGTCGATGTTTTTTCCAGGGTATGTGTCACACTTGTGGAGGGAGGAAATACCAGATTCAGGACAACTTCTTGTCTATGCTTAGCAGGGTGTTCCAGCCATGAGCACCTCATGTGCACTTCAGGCTCTTAAAGGTACCTTGCTTCAACCAATTGCAATGCCTGTTAGAATATGGAGTGCAGTTACAAGGGATGCTGTGCTGTCCCTGTTTATTTGCACTCGTTTCACTTTGGACATAATCCCCCTCAAAGTCTCAAATTTCTCTTGCAAGATGTACCGTCTTCCTGGGCTTGTCTGCATTATAAATGTAATAGTTCTAGCAAAAGAACAAATACCTTAAAGCTACTGCCAGGCAAGATTTTGATTGCCTGTAGTCATCAACATGGCTTTATAATTAGGGAGAACATTACAATTTGACTCATTTTGCGACTATCTCCATAAAAGGAGGAAGTATTTCTTGGGAGGAAATTAGGATGACTAATAGCTGGTGCTGAGCTGGATTAAATGAGCTGGTGCTGAACAAGTTTACGTAGCAAAGCAAGAAATCCCTATTAGGACAGTATGTTGCAGCATCTTGCTGACCTGTACCTGCACCTTTTTACACCATTTTCGTAGTACTTATAGTTTTCAGAATGCTTTCACCATTTCAACCAGCAGTCAAACGATTACCACCTCGCAGTGTAACATGGAAGTCCAAAGTACCACTTAGGCTTTGTTTTCCTTCCTCAGGCAGTTTCTGAAATGCATTAACCAAGAGTTGGTGAATTAACAGTGCATGTCATTATTGAACACTGCCCATCAGCAAACTGGAAGTCAACACCCACAGACTTTAGAAAATGACTTAAGGTTAATGGTGGGGAGTAAAGATTTGCGGGAAGATGTAGTATGAAGGATAACAGGGCTTTAATACACTCACCATGCTATATATAGAAGGGAGGCCTTAATTTTCCATGTAGATGAGATTAGAAACAAGATTGCATAGTTTGGTTTGCAGGAAAAGGAAGCATGACATGAGCAAGGTTTTACAGTCTCTTTACATCTCCCTTTTTACTTCTTCTCAAGAGCATTTAAAGGCAAAAATACCAGGGCATGCTAAAGTGCTGACCTGTGAACAGCACTCACTGTACTGCTCTTTCAGCTTACCCAAACAGGGCTATAAAAGATTCATTCACTGTCCTGCTTGGATTTCATCTGTTTTAAACATTTAGAGACCTACTTACATGCCCTGTAAAACTCGAAAAATCAGAGTGTTGGAAATTTTGCTGGTGAAGTAGATGCCTTTCCCACTCAGGATGGCTACTTTTTTGCCATACGTTACCCTGAGAAGCATTTCACTGTCATGAAAACCTTTGGGGAGGAGGCTGAATTTGTAGTCATTTTCATGCTTATTTATTATTCCTTACTTTGTTATATTTACCCCTCACTATTTTTATTTTGCTAACATCCTGCCATTCTCTTTCCCGCTCCATTACCAAGGCCCAAGTCTGCAGCCAAGCATGTTCCAGTGATGGGCAGAGGTTGCCGTGATCAGCAAAAATAATCAGCATTAGTTTGTGATGAGGAAAAGTCAGTAAATTAATTTCTTCTAGTTCTGCTTTGCCAGAAATAGCAGTTTGTTTCATGGTGCTCCAACAGAAATGGAAGGCTTCACATCTGCCAGGTGTGTCCAGACCCCTAACCCCATTCTGCTGTTGTCTTGGACTAGGCAAAAACCTGGTCACATCTGTGGTATCATCCTCCACAGGCAATTCAGCTTTTGGTTTCAGTTAAAACATTTATACACCTCCTATTTGAGTTAGATAGATTCCTAAAATCTAATATATTTTAATGAGAAACTTCTATTGAAAATGGTCCTTTATCAACAGCATATATACAGTATTAGACAGGATGGCACTATTATTATGTGTAAGAAAGACAGACACATATTGGGGTACTTACCCGTTTCGTGACTGTGGGCTCATAGCTTCCAAGTCCTCTCTCTCTTCCTGATGTGAGGAGATCACACTTGAAGGGTAATCTTGAGTATCCTCCCTGAGCCCTTCTGCCTCCCGGTAACCTTCTTCTTCATGTGACAGAGGAGTCCTCTGGAGGTATGCAGAGGTCTCACGAATTTGTGGCTGTGAGCCGTGCACCGAACCATCGTGATACCCATGATGGTCTGAGTGTTTGACCAGCTTTGCTAATCCTATTGTATTACAGATGAGCAGAAGCTTCACTAACATCGTGGGATTTTTCCCACCCGGTTACACCTGTCTCTTGTTGTCTACTCTGAAGCTCAGCCTGGATTAATTCAGGA